TCTCTCCTACCTCGCTGCGGCATCCATGGTATTGTAGATAGATCACTTTGTGTCTACTGGAGTGCCTACGGTCTTGTATTGTCTCCTATCCTGTCTCTGTTTCTTACCAGGGACCATCTACAACTAACTTAAACCCGTATAGAGTCATGTATATACACTACATCCATCCACCAACCTGTGATCATAACTTCTCACTTTTCAGACAAATTTGGGGATATCTAGTGACTGTTTTAGCTGTTTAAGTAAGGTCTGTGATCTATCATTGTCTCCCTGTCACCCCATTTTAAAAAACTAATCTCATGCCACAACAAGACAATATCCACTACCCGTTTCCTCTTTAGTATTCTCGGCAATACATAATGTTCGCCTTGCATGACTGATTAACTGACCGACAGAGTGAGAGAGTTTTTATTACACTTCTGAAACCGTATAAGCGTTGCCGGGCGTACGACTACTGTAACTTCGCACTAACACAGCAATACAATGAGTTCTGTAGTTTCGTGTTAACATTAATACTATAAAACTAACAATAACGAATGGTGACAGGTGTGTTAACTGTTGTAGGCAGACATGGTGGCGCTGGAGATGGACATATTCAGTCGAGAGAACGTGTCCCCGTGTCAGTGAGTGTTTCCTTCCTTTGTGTCCCATGTTTATGAGCAAATTTTCATGTCTTTGTGGAAATATTCATGTGAGTGAGTGAGTCTATGAGTGGCTGTTCGTCTCTTACGTCCCATCAGGAGGAGGGGGGAGAGGAGGGCAGAATTGGGATACTCATTAACCTGGTCCTTTAATTTCACGGTCATCGCCTCCCCAAGATGTGAGGTGGCCAATTTTACCCCTGGTGGAGGTAGTCTGGTAGTTTTACTGCGGGGCAAGACCTAACACTGCAGTCACTCCCGCCCAGGTTGACAGACTCACAGGGACGGGAGGCAGATGACTGGGACTTAAAGTAATGGGGTTAGTAGACGGGTAATGGGCACAGTTAATCATGGGGCAGGTAGATGGATGAAATGAAGGTAATGGGGCAGGTAGTTGGATGAAATGAAGGTAATGGGGCAGGTAGATGGATGAAATGAAGGTAATGGGGCAGGTAGATGGATGAAATGAAGGTAATGGGGCAGGTAGATGGATGAAATGAAGGTAATGGGGCAGGTAGATGGATGAAATGAAGGTAATGGGGCAGGTAGATGGATGAAATGAGGTAATGGTATGATGGTTGGCAGGTGGATGAGATTGAAATGAAGGTAATGGGGCAGGTAGATGGATGAAATGAAGGTAATGGGGCAGGTAGATGGATGAAATGAGGTAATAGAGAGATGGATGAAGAAAGGTAATGGGGCAGGTAGATGGATGAAATGAAGGTAATGGGGCAGGTAGATGGATGAAATGAAGGTAGGGTAGGTAGATGGATGAAATGATAATAGGGCAGGTAGATGGATGAAATGAAGGTAATGGGCAGGTAGATGGATGAAATGAAGGTAATGGGGCAGGTAGATGGATGAAATGAAGGTAATGGGGCAGGTAGATGGATGAAATGAAGGTAATGGGGCAGGTAGATGGATGAAATGAAGGTAATGTGTCTGAGACTATGGAAGCAAATCGGGAGATAAGAACACAAAGATAATGAGTGAAATAAAATCGACCATAAGAGGAAAAAATCCGTGGGAAGGCAATAAAAGGAACCAAGAGATGAAAGGAAGAAGATAAGGCATGGAAATCGAGGCAAGATATAACAGGAAAAGATTTGTAACATAATTGGTTCATTGACGAAGATACAGCCACTTGTAGCGCCACGATTGGTTGGTTTAGTTGCTGGTTGTTAAGTGAGCAACGCGATTTAACAACCAGCAACCAGCAATCTCGTGTGAATTGTGATGGTTGCTGAGGACGTCAAAAGGGTGGTCTGGCGGGGGAGGTCTGGCGAGGGAGGTCTGGCGAGGGGAGGTCTAGCGGGGGGAGGGTTTGGCGGGGAAGGTTTGGGGGAGGTTTGGTGGGGAGGTCTAGTGGGGGAGGTTTGGCGGGGAAGGTCAGGCGGGGGAGGTCTGGCGGGGGAGGTCTGAGGGGAGGTCTAGCAGGGAGGTTTGGCGGGGAAGGTCAGGTGGGGGAGGTCTGGCGGGGAAGGTCTGGCGGGGGAGGTCAGGCGGGGGAGGTCTGGCGGGGGGGTGGTCAGGCGGGGGGAGGAAGTCTGGCGGGTGAGGTCTGACTGGGGAGGTGTGGCCGAGGTGTGGACTCACTAATATGTTGTTGTCTGCCTAAAGGGGAACCAAACTTAATATGTCTCCACTAATTTATTTGCGTTGAATTATCAGTAATTATTTGGTAATTAGTTACATAACGCAGGGAATTATATTGTGACTAGGTGACTGGATTATGATTGTTTATTTTGCGATTAGGTGATTGAATTATTAGATTATCTTGTGATTAAGTAGTTGAATTATTTACGAATTATCTTATTTTTTGGTGATTTAATTATTTGATTATCTTGTTATTGGGTGAATGAATTATTAAAGACTATACTTATGAATCATTACAGATTACACTTTTATAATTAATTTTGTACTCAAGTTCCTGTACCGCTGTAACGAGGTGGTCGGTAACAAGACTGCCTGTTACCGCGTCATTGGAGGAATATATCTTGTATGTATGCACCCGAATACGCACATATACATACATACATACATACATACACAATCACGCTAATGCATACACGTTCATATACTCGTACACTGGTGGTTAGATAGACAATGATAGAACGATCTATAACTATACCAGACATAATTGCTAAACGACAGATAAGGCAGACAGGCATAGACACACAGACAGGCAAAGACAGACAGACAGACAAACAGTATAAAAACGTCGGCGTGTGAGAGTTGGGTGGACATGGGACAGCCGGGTTGGTAGGTCCAGCTGAGTCAGTCTCTCACTCCAAACACTGGATACATTTTACAATACGTGGTCGTCTTTCACCCTTTGTCACGGCCAGGAAAACGGAGCTGATTGGTCCCCTTTGTGGCGCCCAGACGAGAATTCTCCTCTAAAGGGTACTTGAGAAATTGTCATAGTTGAGAGGGAAGGGGGAGTGGGGAGTAGGAAGGGAGAGAAAGGGAAGTGGTCGAGGGAGAGGGATAGCGAGATGGAGAGGGAAAGGGAGGGGGTGAGAGAAAGGGAGAGCAGGGGAGAGGAAGTGTGTCTCTTTTCTGAGTAGGGGAATTTACAGCTAAGGGGTGATTGTGGTGTGGATTTTCGTGGTCAATTTTGCATTCTATTTTATGCACTGTTTTGGTTAACACAGTTCATGGTGGCGTTACTCTTATCTCCACCACAGCTTATAGTGTTCTCTCCACCACAGCTTACAGTGTTATCTCCACCACAGCTTATAGTGTTATCTCCACCACAGCTTCACACATCATCACCACCACCACCACCACAGCTTATAGTGTTATCTCTACTTCAGCTTCATGTATCACTACCACCACAGTTTCATACATCACCACCATCACCACAGCTTCACATTTCACCACCACCACAGCTTCACGTCATCACCACCACAGCTTGCCAGATTATTCACCACAGCAGCTTGTTGGCCCCAGACTCCTCACTCCTTTTACTTTTCGTTTTTCTTTTTATTTTTCACCAATAACTCCACCATTTTTCCCCAGCCTCAGTGACCGTCAACACGAGGTTCGACATTTCGTTAAATTTACAAAGTTTATGTGTTTGTCCTCACTGCGACCCTCACCACTACTACCACTACTACCACTACCACCACCGTCGCCACAACCACCACCACCACCACCCTCACCACCACCCCCCCAACACTACCACCCCCTCACCACCACCACCCTCCACCACCACCACACACCACCACCACCATCACCACCACCACCATCACTAGCCATTGTTATTTCCACGATGCCGTTGTCTCTCGGGCCGGTGTGAGGCTGTCAGTTAGTTCTCCGGTTATGGCAGAGATGGCAGCTCCTGGACCGAGCGGCAATTGAAAGCTCCGTAATTATCACCAAAATAGTTGTAACTGCCGAATCATCATCACCGTCACAAACTATTCCGAAAATAATAATAATAATAATAATAATAATAATAATAATAATAATAATAATAATAATAATAATAATAATAATAATAATAATAATAAGAATCTAAGAACAATCTAGTCTTCATTAATTACGGTGATAACAATGTCCCTCTTACAACAATAACACAATCGTCATCATTATCTCATACCGTAACAAACATCATCTCATTTTCACCATCTTAACAACCGAGCCTTCAAACATTTCACTTTTTTTTCACTGTGACAATCTTCTTCCTTCCTTTCACCGCTGTCACTGTAACATCTTCGTGGTGGGGAGTGAGGGAGGGAGGTGAGGCAAATGACCTTCACTACATTTACGTTATTTGCTGCCCCTCTACATCATCTCCACCACTGCCTCCCTCACATTATTGATTTTTCATCTTGTCAACAATACCTCACTTTTTTAGTCTATTTTTCCCGTATCTTCATCCTTACCATCTTCTTCACTTCTCGTCTCGTTCTGTTTGTTTATCATCAGTTTCCTCTCTTATAGTAAACCAAGTCCTAACTCCCTATCTATTATGTGAATCTCTGTGTACCGGCAATGCCATCCAGCTCCCCTTGCCCTGTCACCTAAACTACCGATCTAACATTTCCTCACCGAGTCGTGTAACGACCAGTCAAGTAAATGCGATTTTCGTCTTTATAAACGCGGATTCCCAGTCGGCTCTTGCAAGTCTTTCCATTGCCCTAGGAACCGCAGTTTAATTAACCTCTCGAACGAGCAGCCCAGACAACACTTATTGAATTCCAAAACATCGATCACCCAAGACGTAAGCAATATGACCCCAGCAGCAACACCAGCAGGAGGCAGCAGGGATGATGGCAGTAGTGACGGCGGCGGTGGTGGTTACTGGAGGAGAGAGGAGAGCAGAAGCCGTACAGGGCGGTGGTAACGTTCAGTCCGTCCCGTGCCGCCGAGGTGGTTGGTGTTGTCTCTCAGTGCTCCTGTAGCTGCGCGCGTCTCGCTCTCTCAACACTCGTGTGCTCCGTGACGCGCTCCCAACGTTCCTCCTCTGGAATTTGATTGATACCTTGACAGAACTCTACGTAGAAACAAGTGACTGACATACTACCTCAACATTTGTGGGGAAGCATATTGATAACTTGGTGCGTGTCATCATCGCTGAATGTTGTCTTGTTGGCAAGTGGTAAAAACTAACATAGATAGAATGGCAGCTCCCCGTTGTGACTCCTCAGTTGACGGTGTTTGGGCGCGATATTGTTTGTAGAGGACACTTGGTGTTTTAACGTCGTGTAAGAGTCCCACTACTGTTAAGCTTACCGGGAGAACCTCAAGGACCCGTACCTCACCACAACCACCACCATGACGGAGGCCGAGGAATTGACCAAACAGGTGGACCTCGTCTACAAGGTAAACCCCGGCCTGATTACACTTACCTTAATTACTAGTTGGTGTCAGTAGCGATTATCTTCGAAACAATGATATTTATAGTGAAATAACAGACAGTTAAGATAATTACCTAGATTTAGTCATATATAACCCATGTTCGTTAGACAGAGTAGAATATAATACTAGTAAGGTTGTGGTAAATTATGCAAGAACTGGTAATGAGCAAACCTGGTCGAGCTAAATAGGGTTGTCTTGCACACGGGGCCTGCACAAGAGGTTCTGATAACAGGTAATTGAATCATAACGCGGAGTTAGTTGTCCAGTGTGTTGAGGCTTTTAGCGTTATATAATTGTTTGAGGAACTTCTTTGATGTTGGTGTTTGTAGTTCATGATTTTTATTATTATTGTTTATGTAAGTAAGTTTATCTGTACCTTTCATTATTTTATTTAAGTTTATCGGTGTTTTCCTTCATATTTTTGGGTTTAGGGAAGTTTATCAGTTTTTCGTTTTTTTTATTTAAGTTTATCGATGTTTGTCGGTCATGTTTTTATTTGTATTTAAGTAAGTTTATCATTGTTTATCGTTCATAATTGTTTTATTTAAGGAAGATTATATGTATTTCATTTATATGTACCTGTATAGTGTAATGTTTACTGTATATGTATTATAATATGTTATAACGTATGTATGTTTATTATTTATAACTCGGCAGGACAGCAACTTAACTGAATCTCTCGTAACTAAGCAACTTAACTGAATCTCTCGTAACTAAGCAACTTAACTGAATCTCTCGTAACTAAGCAACTTTACTGAATCTCTCGTAACTAAGCAACTTAACTGAATCTCTCGTAACTAAGCAACTTTACTGAATCTCTCGTAACTAAGCAACTTAACTGAATCTCTCGTAACTAAGCAGCTTAACTGAATCTCTCGTAACTAAGCAACTTAACCTGAATTTCTCGTAACTAAGCAACTTAACTGAATCTCTCGTAACTTAGCAACTTAACCTGAATTTCTCGTAACTTAGTAACGTAATCTGAGTCAAGTGTAACTATTGAAAATATATTTCGGTACATTTTTATGGAAGTTGAACACCATAATGTAACACATCTTTTACTACAGCAAGAACGAATGAAAAATTTATGGATGAATGAATGAATGAATGAATGAATGAAAGGGAAAGCCTGTGTGTTTACCCTCTTGAAAGACTGAATCGTGGCCATCTTTCAGTTCCACGAAATTATAAACAAATAAACAGAACGATTTAGTTGAAGTAATGGCCATCTGAGAGTCGCTTAGATAGTAATCAACGTAGCCTCTGTAATGTATGTATGGGATAATTTAAATGTTTGGATTAGGTTAATGCAAATGTAATTAATTTGGTGGATTAGATGTAAACTGCATTATGGATGAGATGTGTTCTGTGGCCTTGTGGGTGGGGGGGGGTGATACTTCCAGTGATTACAGTCCTGTGTTATTGGTTAGGTTATTAATGTTTTTTGTTGTTGTTTGTTAAATGGGCTATTGTTTCTTTACCTGGTAAATTGCATTACAACTACTACTATTACTACTACTCTTTTATTACCTTAAAATTAAATATCCTAATACATAAGTAGTTATCCTAGCTGTGTTGAGTAAGTTGAGTCGCAGATCTATGCGGCATTCAGTGACTGTAGCCTCATAGTCAATATCTGCAACAGTTGTCGGCTTTGGGGCCGATGCTCTCGTTCCCCTGAGGCAGAGTAAAGCCGACCAAAGGAGAGATAAGAGAAGGACAGTCGACATCTCATCCAGGCTGTAACATAACTTCTGGGCTGATGTTTCTGTTCGGATGGCGTAGAAGCATCTTGCACTTGGTCCCATCCCACCAGAGGTTGTGAACACCAGAGGAGTGAAGCTGCCTTGATCAACGTTCTGAATTCTCTCCCCATATGCCCTTATCTTGTCGTTCTCGTTCCTCCTGTGTGCAGCATCGAGAGCTAAGTCACGGTGACATGCGGCCATGGGATAAAAAATACTGATGTCGAAGAGGGCTCGCTGTACCCGTGTCCAGAATCCTCGAGCACTGAAGTCCACACGGGCTTCGTTGGATGGAGGGTCGGTTCTACCCTGACATCACGGCTGATTTCCTTCAACATGTTTGCTGTGAGGTCCCTTACTTCGTCATGCCATGGCGTGATCGACGTCATAGGAAGAGCCACACACGCATTGGGAGGGCTACTACTAATTTTTTGTTTTCAAACGTGGCCTCCAGCCTCCCCCAATAGCCACACCTTCGCCGCCATTTTATTACCTTAATATTAAATATCCTAATACATAAGTAGCTATCCTATCTGTGTTGAATTAGTTGATCCGCAGGTCTATGCGGCATTCAGTGACTGTAGCCTCCTTGTCATTATCTGCATCTGTTGTCGGCTTTGGGGCAGAAGCCCTCGTTCCCTTGAGGCAGAACAAAGCCAACCGAAGGAGAGAGAAAGACAGTCGACATCTCATCCAGGCTGTAACGTAGCTTCTGGGCTGCTGCTTCTGTTCGGAGACCACATCCGCGAGTCTGGCGTAGAAACATCTTGCACTTGGTCCCATCCCACCAGAGGTTGTGAACACTAGAGGAGTGAAGCTGCCTTGATCAACGTTCTGAATTCTCTCCCCATATGCCCTTATCTTGTCGTTCTCGTTCCTACTGTGTGCCGCATCGAGAGCTAAGTTACGGTAACACGCAGCCATGGAATAAAAAATCCTGTTGTCGAAGAAGGCTCGCTGTCCCCGCGTCCAGAATCCTTGAACACTGACGTCCACACGGGCTTCGTTGGATGTGTTTGAAGTCCTATGTTGGAAAGTCTCACCGTCCAATGGAAGAAGGGTCGGTTCTACCCTGACATACGGCAACTATTACTACTACTTACTACTTTTACTTCTTACTACTACTACTTCTAATACTACTACGTCTTACTGCTACTACTGCTACTTCTTCTTACTACTACTACTACTACAAATAATAATAATAGGATTTAATCAGTAATATTGTCATACAGGTAAGATTTAATATGACTAATAATTAAATTCCAGTAAATAAACTGTGTTCTCTGGCGGTAACAAAAACGAAATATATTGTAAAGTAAAATATAACATTGCTAGTAATTCAAGCGAGGAGGTAAGTTATAAGAGCGGACCGAGCTGAATTAATCTCAGTTTGTGTTAAAAGGAAGAAAATGGCATTAAAGGGGAGACTATTGCAGTGTGTGTGTGTATTCGCTGAAGTTTTGACGGTGAGCCAAGGATTTCCATTTGTGTTCATAATAAGTTTGGGTGTAGCTATAAAACTTACTTACACTGTTGTCTAATTGTTTCATATTAAGAGGAGTTAGGAGTTAAAGATAGTCTTCCGTGTGTTGCTGTTAATACGAAAAAATGAACGACAATTAAGTGGAGAGAGATTGAGGAAGGAAAATTTCTCTTTTTTTTTATCGTGTTTTTACCTCATGTCTTGGCGGGGAGTTAGTTTATTTGATTTATTAATTAATTTATTATTTTTATTGGGGTTCTTCGTACGATTTATTTTATTTTGGATCATATTCAGATTAGACACCCCAGGTTATTTCACGTGAAGATTAGACACCCCAGGTTATTTCACGTGAAGATTAGACACCCCAGGTTATTTCACGTGAAAATTAGACACCCCAGGTTATTTCACATGAAGATTAGACACCCCAGGTTATTTCACATGAAGATTAGACATCCCAGGTTATTTCACGTGAAGATTAGACACCCCAGGTTATTTCACATGAAGATTAGACATCCCAGGTTATTACACGTTATTTCAAAGATTAGACACCCCAGGTTATTCACGTGAAAATTAGACACCCCAGGTTATTTCGTGAAGATTAGACACCCCAGGTTATTTCACGTGAAGATTAGACATCCCAGGTTATTTCACGTGAAAATTAGACACCCCAGGTTATTTCACGTGAAGATTAGACCCCAGGTTATTTCACGTGAAAATTAGACACCAGGTTATTTCGTGAAGATTAGACACCCCAGGTTATTTCACATGAAGATTAGACATCCCAGGTTATTTCACGTGAAGATTAGACACCCCAGGTTATTTCACATGAAGATTAGACATCCCAGGTTATTACACGTGAAGATTAGACACCCCAGGTTATTTCACATGAAGATTAGACATCCCAGGTTATTACACGTGATTAGACGCCCCAGGTTATGTCACGTGAAGATTAGACACCCTGACGCTAACCTAACTTTATCGTCCCCAGGTAGCGTTGGGGTGGCTATACTTCAGGTGACTACAGACGGTATACAGTATGATAATAATAATAATAATAATAATAATAATAATAATAATAATAACAACAATAATAATACAGTAATGAATAATAACAATAATAATAATAATAGTAAAAGTTATAATGGTCATGACAGTAATAAAAATACTACTACTACTACGACTAATAATAATAATAATAAAGACATCAGTTACGTAATTCAATAAGGCAATTCATTAGTCAAATCATGTTGGTGTGTGTGACTCGTATAAACCCCCACATACAGGAGTCAGTGTTAGTGAACGACAAGAGGAGGCTGCCCCTGAGAGCTGGGGAGGGGCCGTCTCTCTCTCGTGTGCTCGCCGCCTACTGATGCTGGAATTGAATTTAATCCATGACTACTTGACGAGATTAGTTTCCCCTGTGTGTGCGTTTGTGTATGTATGTATATATGTATGTGTGTGTGTGTGTTTAGCCCTCGTACATGTACACATATACACACAATTTACAGTATACATTTCTACTGTATAATATTCACACGTGTATTATGACTCTTATTGGTGTATATATATGTATTACACGTGTTAATCCCCACTGCATTTACAAGGTATTGAGTCGTCTCCTCCTCCTCCTCCTTCATCTTCTCATTTCTTCCTCCTCCTCTTACTCCCACATCCTCTTCTTCCTCCCCACCTACTCTCTCATTCTCCTCTTCCTCCTCCGCCATACACTAGTCACT